TGGGGAATCAAATTTTTACATAGAAAAACAGTGGACCTTCAGATATCCGGATGCTTCAGTATCCGGACGACTTTACATCGGAACTGATTTTTTAAAAGTTATTTTGTCTTGTTTAACTGGTAATTCAGATATCCGGACACTTCACATATCCGGACAAATTGACTAGGAACCAAAGCGTCTGGATAAATGAGGCTCCACTGTATATAGGAAAAATCTTTAAAAATCTTCTTCTCAAGAACCACTGGGCCAGAAAAGCTGAAACTTATGTGGAAGCATCCTGGGGTAGTGCAGATTCTAAATTATTCAAATCATGACCCCCAGGGGTAGGGTGGGGCCGGCCACAATGGGGAATCAAAGTTTTACATTGAAATATATAGGAAAAATCTTCTTCTCAAGAACCACTGGGCCAGAAAAGCTGAAACTTATATGGAAGCATCCTGGGATAGTGTAGATTCTAAATTGTTCTAATCATGACCCCTGGGGGTAGGACGGGGCCACAATGGGGAATCAATTTTTACAATGTTGAATCAAAGCATCCTATGGTAGTGTAGATTTCAAATTGTTTAAATTATGATCAGTTGGGTAGGGTGGGGTCACAATATGTATTACAAGGGGGAAATCTGGTAAAGAACAGAATGTTCAAAGCTTCTCAGGTGAGCGATGTGGCCCATGGGCCTCTTGTTCTTTATCTCACTGAGATGTTTTTTTAAAGCTTCATGGTAATGGTATATAAGAGAAAATTACCTAGAAAATCCTAACATTGAGCAAATGACTGCCGCATCCTCATTACCCCATCCGTCATCGCAGATTGTCCCCCATGATCCTTCGTGATATATTTCAACTCTACCTTCTAAAGCCGTATTCCCGCCAACTAGTCGCACAGCTTCATCTGTGATTTAAAAAACACCAATGTTGGTTAAGAGTCCTTGTAGACAATACGCCTTAAAATAGTATACCAAAAAAAAAAAATAGAAATATATATCATTTTAAAAATACAAAATTTATATTCTGAATATTTGCATTTGTCTATCAAGTGGATGCCGAGTTCGACCAAACTGAGATTCTTCAATAGTGCTTTAATGAAATAACGACTATTATTGAAGTAATTACTAGTACTTAGTACTAGTATTTCATAAAGATACTTTTTGAAACGTTTTCTTGACCACTATGTCTATTAAATAGTATTTCAATAGTGGGCGTTATTTTAATAAACAACTTTAAAGCATTGAATAGTATGCACTGTACTTGTTCATTTATCTTTTTACGACATTTGAACTCTAAATGTTTGAGAATAAAAGTAATCAATGATCACAAGGGGAAAATAAAAAGATGAGGACAAATAATTAAATTCCTTTTCAAGAAAAAGTGATCCTCAACAGATTATTAATTATTCCAAATCATGATGAAAGTACACTGGAGACAATGTTTGAATTTTATGAAGAAGAGCGTTGATGAGTATAATGCATTGCTAATGACATCTGAAGAAATTGCCTAAATCCTGATCTTCCAGAATAAAATACAGGTGACTCTCGATGGCTCGAACTCCGATCTCTCAAAGTTCTCGATCTCTCGAGGTGAACCTACGGTCCCGTTTTTTTCCTCTATATAACTAAGCGAATTTACTCCTGATCTCTCGAACTTCTATCTCTCGAAACTCTCTATCTCTCGAACCAAGACCTGGGTCCCGTTACACATATTTCATTGATTTTTACTCTCTATCTCTAGAACTTCTGATTTTGCGCGAATACACGCCAATCAAGCGTAAAATTGATGCAGCCTGGACTTACCTGCATGGAAAACAGTGAACGCCTGGGGCTAACATGTAAGTGTTTACGTAGATGACACTACACCTGTGGGTCATCCGTTTGTTGATAAAATTAATTGGTTATTATAGGTAAATTATAAACGAATTAACATCTTATTTGGAACTTGAATCCGAGACGATAATTTTTAGAAAATAATTTATAGACGTTCGTTTTAATAAGTTCCCACAGACTATAAACTTTTTTAAGAGTCTACATAATCCAAGAAAGGCAAATAGCACAAGAAATTCATTTCTCAAGGACTGAATACCTTTTAATAAAAATCTGGTGTCAGTGATGAACACTGGTGAAGGACCCGATCAAGGCAAGCCGCGGATTAGCAAAACTGACAATTGCTTTTCAGGATTCAAGTAGTCATGAAATTAGAACAAATACATTTGAAACTTTAGGAATTTATTTATTCACAACACGATCATTGTTGTTGAAATCAAGTGAATTACCTGTAAAATACGATTGAAAACGTGCAATAACTTAATTTACACATACTTCCGGTATCTATAATAGTAGAATATCGATGATCGGAACTGCAAAATTCGGATTTTTTTTTACTTTCTATCTCTCGAACCCCTCGATCTCTCGAACTTTTCTTGCGGTCCCTTGAACTTCGAGAGATCGAGAGTCACCTGTATGCGCAAACGATACACTAGTATACAGAGCAGGATAGACCTACCTAAGGAACAGATTACCCCGGCGTCCTCTGAATGCCCACAATTGTGTGTGCCCATACTGGACTTGTTACATTGTAGTAAATCCATTTCGTCCCCTTGGCACCGTACATCATCTGTCCAGATCCTCATACGACTGTCAACTTGTCCAAAGTGTGCCGATGTTCTTGCTGTGGCGTTTTTCCTGTAAATTTAGCGCGTCATCATACGATATTTATAAATTTATTTATTATTATATGATTGAATAATTTTCATCTCTCTGATTGGCTGAGATCCAACTATGTTGGAAAAATACTACGTTGTATTGACCTGCACGTGACGTTCCAGGTGAATACAAGGATTTATTTCCTCTACATTGATCTAAAAATAGATCGGGAAATTCCAAATTGATACAAATTGTTTTGGAAAGCTATTTAAACGACTATGACCTTTTTTCATATGAACAAAACAAGCGAATATATATTTTCGGGTGAGGGTGGTAAGAGGGGATGCAGGGATACCCCTCGAACACTTTTACTGAACAACAATTTTTACTTTTTGGCAGTTAGTTTTCCCTAATAATACTCTTTCCTCTCAAAATCTTATCTATATAAAAGACTGACATTATATTTTAGCTCACCTGAGCCAAAGGCTCAAGTGAGCTTTTCTGATCAAAATTTGTCCGTTGTCTGTCGTTTTCGTCGTCGTCGTTGTAAACTTTTCACATTTGCATCCTCTTCTCAAGAACCACTGGGCCAATTTCAACCAAACTTTCTACATAATATCCTTGGATAACCGGGATTCAAGTTTGTTCAAATGAAGGGCCACGCTTTTTTTCAAGGGGAGATAATTATGAAAAAGAGAAAACTTAATGGAATTTTAAAAAAATCTTCTTCTCAAGAACCACTGGGCCAGGAAAGGTGAAACTCATGTGGAATCATTCTCAGGTAGTGTAGATTCAAGTTTGTTCAAATCATGACCCACGGGGGTAGGGTGGGGCCAAAATGGCTGATCAAAGTTTTACATAGGAATATGTAGGAAAAATCTTTAAAAATCTTCTCAAAAACCACTGGGCCAGGAAGGATGAAACTCATGTGGAATCATCCTCGGGTAGTGTAAATTCTAGTTTGTACAAATCATGACCCCCATGGGTAGGGTGGGGCCAAAATGGTCGATCAAATTTTAACATTGGAATATATAAGAAAAATCTTCTTCTCAAGAACCACTGGGCCAGGAAAGATGAAACTCATATTAAATCATCCTCAGGTAGTGTAGATTCAAGTTTGTTCAAATCATGACCCCCGGGGGTAAGTTGGGGCCAAAATGGCCGATCAAAGTTTTATATAGGAATATGTAGGAAAAATTTTCCTCTCAAGATCCATTGAGACAGGAAAGATGAAACTCCTGTGGAATCCCTCAGGTAGTGTAGATTCAAGTTTGTGCAAATCATGACCCTCGGGGTAGGGTGGGGCCAAATGGCCGATAAAAGTTTTACATAGGAATATATAGGGAAACATTTTAAAATCTTCTTTTCAAGTACTTCAAAGCCATGCCTACTGATATTTATAGAGAATCATCCTCAGGTAGTGTAGATTCTAATTTGTTCAAATCATGACCCCCTGGGGGGGGGGGTAAAATTCAAGCCCCCTCCCCCCCTCAGTAAACTTTCAGTTCTGATCTGATATGTACTTTTTCCTCGCCAATTGCTCAGGTGAGCGATGTGGCCCCTGGGCCTCTTGTTTTCATAGCAACTAAAATTGATAAAAAAAACTTCAAATTGATACGACTGGTAAGGCTTCTTTACATTTTAATTCTGCTTCTCTTTTGTATTTGGCTAGGACTTAATTAAATGCAAACAAGTAATGGGCTTTATTATTTTATCAGTGAATCATATAATAAAACAATTTTTGCTGTTTTTTTACGGTCAATACAATGATTTAGCCATCTTCGAAGTACAATATTCACCGAGCCCGAAGGGCGAGGTGAATATTGTACTCTTCAGATGGCTATAAATCATTGTATTGACCGAAAAAACAGCAATAATTGTGTAATATATTCTTATTAACTTAAAAAGTTCTTTATCTGGCCCTGCATGTACATGAAACAAAAAGAAGAAAACTTGGATAATGATCTTTAAAATTCAAGCGTCCTTATTCAGAGAATTAAAGTTATGTATAAAGTATACCGGTATTCTATATATTAGACAGCTCTTTGATTTGTTAAACAAACGATTGTTTGAGGACATTTTTATGCGCCCGGATCGATAGATCCGAGGCATATATTGTTTTTATCTGTTTGGCTGTCTGTTGTCAACGTTAACCTTTGCCATAACTTTTGAACCATGAGAGATAGAGATTTCATATTTGGTATGCATACTCCACTAATTAAGTTCTTTCAAATGACACCAAGGTCAATGACCTTGTGACCTTGACTGTGACCTATATGCTAAAAATAGTGCTAAAACAGCTTTTTCGAACGTGTGCCATAACTTTTGAACCATAAGAGATAGAGACTTCATATATGATATGCATACTCCACTAATTAAGTTCTTTAAAATTACACCAAGGTCAATGACCTTGTGACCTTGGCTATGACCTACATGCTAAAGATAGCTTTTATGAACTTTGTTGCGGTAAGAAAGTGATACCTTGAAAATCCCAGCATGAAGCAGACGACAGCAGCATCGTTATTATCCCAGGCGTCATCGCACACGGTACCCCATTCATCGTTATAGAAAATCTCCACCCGCCCCTCCATAGCATTAGATCCGCCCACAAGTCTGATATCTATTACATATAAATCAATGTCACATTCATTCTGATAATCTTGAACTTGATTTTAGGGAAAATTCTTCTTAGTGAACTTAAATTCAACTCAAAACACAAACATAATTTTGGCTTTAAAACAAAGTTCGATTATGAAATTTTCGTAAAACGTCTTACTTTATAACGTGAAATATTTCTACCCCTACATGCAATGTAAATTATGCTCAAACACGCAATAAGTATGTAATCTTACAATTTTTTATGTCTACATGCATGATAATTATGTTGACAGTTATAAAACTTTTACGATGGGACATATATCGTACACATACTCAGACCAGAAAACGTTTGACACATGACACCGGCATCTTCGTTGTGTCCACAGTTATGGGAGCCAATTGCGTTTTGGGAACATCGAAACAAATTTGTGTCCGAATCCGTACAACCCATCTCATCCATCCAAATGTGTCCTGATCCTTGGCCGAAAAACGCTGACCCCTTAGCTTTGGCATTTAGCCTTCATAATAAAAAAAATATCATCATAATCATTTTCAAAATGACAAAATATAAGAAGTTTTTATAAGACTCCCTACAAATAAAATAAGCAAGAGGTCCATATGCCGCATCGCTCACCAGAGCACTTTGGCTAAGGTAAAGCAATTGAATAAATTAAAAAGTTAATTAAGTTATAAGTGGCTCCTCAGTAGCATGGCAGGGTGGGTAGGGGCCCCTGTCTGAACAAACCTTAACACTAAATGAACTTCAAAATGCTTCTATATTAACATGGCTGATCAAAACTTTAAAAGATATTTTTCATATTTTTCTCTTTATAAAATTTATCAACATGATCCAAAGTTATGATATTCAAATACATGAAGCTATGCTTTCTACCTGATGATATTTACATATTAATACCCGGTATAACTATTCCTTGTATGTAAAACAAAACGATCCCCAGCGATGTTTTTAAGAAAACTCTAAATCTACACTTACTAAAGCTACGTCAATATAAATATGAATAATCATAACTGCATTTCTTGTCTGTTGAAAAGTGACAACAACCTACCACTGGGGGTGGGGTAGTGTTATGATTGCAATATAATTAAATAGAATTATAAATCTATTTTACCTAAGGACGCTTCCATATAAAAATGAATTATTTATCAAAGCTTTTTCTGTTCTTGGATAGAAGATTTTAATGACGCCCATTATTAATGTCTTAAATTCCCTGTCCTTGACCAAGTGTTATTATTTGAACAAACTTGAACCTATATATATACAGATGATGAAACTGTCTCTCACCTGAGTGAAAGGTGACTGAAATTTGAATGAATGGCAGAAATGTGTCACTCATCAGACTTTAAATTCAGTCACCTTTCCAAACTTTCTTAGAGACCAACTAACCATTCAGTTAAACTGAACTGCGTAGGTCCATCCTCTGCTACATTTAATACTGAAGCTTTTACCTAAGTTTTATACTTTCCTGCCAACTGATTATTAAGAAGATATCATTAATTTTCCCCATTTTTGTTTGTTTCACCATAAACGAGGGTGTGGTGTGGCTCTTCGACTGCACAAACTTAAATTTTCTTCAACCAAAGATGCTTTGGTTGAAATTAGGCCAGTGATTCTAGTAAAAAAAAATCGAAAATGTTCGGAAGATAGACGGACACCGGGCATTCTTTGAGCAGAAAAGATCAGAGATTTCGGTTTAGATGTTCTAAAAGAGTCGACACGTCTGTAAATTACTAGCCTCGGTAAACCATCTTGTAGCCAATGTACTTGTAGATCATTCAAAAATCATATAGTATGCATATTTATTAAGGTTTATTTTTTTCTCTATCACTATTTGGTTGGAGGGAGTAAACAAAATTTACAATGTAAATTTAGCCACAGGAGTTGTGTTATTATTATAGGTATCATGTATTTACTTAAAATTTCAGTAAAATTGATAGGTACGCGAACTCCTGTGCTTAAGGTTTTGTCGAGAGGGATTATTTATCAGTATTGAAACTATCTGAATTTTCCCCCAAACCTGTAATTTTTAAATATTTTTTTTATGCTGAACATAAAAGTTTAACAGAGTTGTTTTAACCTAATTCAACCAGTTATGTATAACATGAACAATATTCAGATCATTAAAATTTGGACTGATACGTAAATAAAATTTTTTTAACGTGTCCATTACATTCGCAAAAATATTTTTTAAAAATAAATCACCAATAAGAAAATGTAATCAAAGCAGTGGTCATTCGCAAAATTTTGAAACGTAAAAATTAATGAACAATATTGAGAATCAAAATAAAATTAAAATTTGGACTATAATATTTAACCTGCTGAATCCGAGCATATGGCAGACGACGGCAGCATCTTTGTCACCAAAGTTGTCGTCGCAGACTGTTCCCCAGGAACCATTGTAGTAAACCTCCACTCGACCTTCTGTAGTAGAGTTCCCGCCTATTAATCTCATGGTGGGTGACTGGGCTGAAAGACATTACAATAATAATCAACAAAAACTTCTTTATTTCCATTTCCATATCTAGTTACAATATGTTCATAAAGATGGAAATACTTTCTTGTATTTAGTACATTCCTCCACTGAAAGAAAAACCTAGTGAATTTAACTAGTGTGTTTCGTAAAGCGTTGGTCGTGATTAGTAAACTTTCAGTTTACTGGTTAAGATAGTGAGTTGTAGAGCTGGGGTCGTAGAGATACTTGGATACCTAGTGAAAGTTACTCATCAATTCTAAATTTACTAATCTTATCTAGTAAATATATACCAATATCTGGTAAAACTACTATTAAGGTAGTGATTGTATGGACAGTGAATCTACTAGTTTTCTTCGTGACATTAACTACTTATTTTTTTTTATAGTGTCATCAAGTAAAATTTTCATTTATTAGAAAATTAAGTATATTTTTTAGACACTGTCTTTTTAAACCCCATAAGATCTTTTATCGTTCTTTGTGGAACCTTTTAATCTAAAACAGTACTGTTTTTTTTATAGTGAAAACATCCCCAACTGGGGTCATGTAAAGTTCATCATTATATATATAAAGATCGTAACGTAAAATCAAAATAAACTTCAATGTAACCTTATACATTTTATACTATACTTAATCATTCCATGACCAGCGAAGGTGACACTTCTTTGTGTTCAGCGATTCTACACTGAATCTAATTATGTACAAAACTAAAACTTGATCTTGAATTCGTATTTCTTTTCATATCCAATCAATGGCTTCTTTGCTCAGTAAATATTAAGTTCGATAAAGGTTTTAGAGGACAATTTTGTTTGCTTCCGAGAGACTTCCATCATCAAAAAAGTTCATATCTGTAAAGTTTCTGAGCGAGATTTGTGAAATTCCTTTTTAACATTATTGATATACACTGGATTCAAGTTTTGAGAAATGGAAAATACAAGTTTTTCGCAAACTACCATTTCCATCGTTTCTAGGTTGGTATTGACAACTCAATCGCAAACAATGAACATATCTTGTTCCTGGAAACTTCCAGCAGTAGAATGGTTCAAAGTTCTAATGTTATCACTGGGATTTATCGGCAATGGATTAGCATTTTGTGTCATCTGTAAAAATACAAATCTGCATAGCAAGAGTTTTGCCATAATTGCTGTTCTAGCGCTCTCTGATGGTACCTATTGTTTGGGAGGCGTGCTTTGGGGATTGCTTTACTATGCCTACATGGATCCAAGCAATTTTCGTAATCTTCAGAACTGTGTAGGAGATTTCTCTTATACATACATAAAAAACTTCATAGCATGTGTGATGTCTGCTGCATATGTTGCCTCCGGTTTCTTTATTGCGACCTTGTCTGTCTTTCGCTACATGGTTATCGCCCGTCCTTCGAAGTCCGACAGGATCCTTAAAAAAGCCTCAGTCATTTTTACGATTATCACAGTGTATATCCTCTCCATTGTAATTGCAGCCGTAAAGACGTTTTATTCCGATAAACATAAGAAGAAAATCAACAAAATTCTAGATTTTGTTCTTTCCTACCTGATACCACTTATGATAATGATCGTATTCCATGTAATAAAAATTTCCATTGTCAAAAGCGAGAAAACTGGCCGTTTGAACCCTTCGCTTAGAAAACTGGACCAGATTTGCCTGGCAATTATTTTAACATTTTTCATCCTTCCCCTTCCATGGCATTTGTTGGCACTGCTTTACGAGTTTGGTGTAATTGATCCAGCTTACATGGCAGTTACTATAAGTGCTTTTTTGTTGCAGTTAAACAACTGCATTAATCCTATATTTTACGTTTTCTTGTCACGGCGTGTACGGCAGACCATTTCTAGTTGTTTTTGTAGAAAAGAAAGTGCGGCCTCCCAAACAGGGCCAACAGAACTGAGCTCACTATGACATTGAACCTTAAGGAATCTAACCCTGAATCCGCTTCTATCAACTGAGCTCACTATGACATTGTACCTTAAGGAATCTAACCCTGAATCCGCTTCTATCAACTGAGCTCACTATGACATTGTACCTTAAGGAATCTAACCCTGAATCCGCTTCTATCAACTGAGCTCACTATGACATTGTACCTTAAGGAATCTAACCCTGAATCCGCTTCTATCAACTGAGCTCTTTATGACATTGAACCTTAAGGAATCTAACCCTGAATCCGCTTCTATCAACTGAGCTCACTATGACATTGAACCTTAAGGAATCTAACCCTGAATCCGCTTCTATCAACTGAGCTGACTATGACATTGTACCTTAAGAAATCTGACCCCGAATCCACTTCTATCAACTTCAGTACGTTTTAGTAGGATTTCAACTTAAAAATATTCTTTGATAGCTTAATTATGATTTATGAAGACAATGGATGTATCGCATGCATATGAAATGTCTTTATAAAATTTTAAAAGATCTTTCTATATTATTACACTAGATTGGAGTTTTTGCTGATGATGTAGTAAGGAGAGAAGAATTTATAATAAAAAAGAAATTTTAAAACTTGTTTTAGGTTATGTCATTATAGTGAACAGTCTATGGTGAGGACTATTGCATTAAAAGAATGTTGACAGCTTCAAGTTTTGTGAATTAGTACTGTAGATCACTTAATTTTCGCGACACCTAATTTTCGCGAGATAGACATGGACTCTTTATTAGCGAGACAAAATTTTCACGAATTGTGGTCATTGCTCCATATAATCATAAGGAATTCTATTATACGCGAGAATGAAATTTTTGCGAGCATAACGTCTCGCGTAATTACGCCAAAATAAAGTTCTCGTGAATACAAAGTGATTTACAGTATTCTGTTTATATTTTTGACGCCTGAAATTCCAGTGCTTCCCGCGATGTCCCCAAATACACTTGAACTGGGTACTTAAAATGTTTCTTGATTCAATCTTCCTGAATGTGCCTTCAGGTTGTTGAGGAATTTTATCTGCATGGACTTCTTGTTGTCACAAGTGTTACAGTACTTATTTCCCATTAAGAGACATAAACTATTAAGAGGAAGTTCTTGAATTGTGACACCAATGAGATCCCGAGTACTAAGAGATATTATGTTCCCTGTTTATAAAGATTTTTGTTGAAAGTTTATACATGTAATATTCGAATGACGCTTGTGATTCATTCTTCGTAAAAGTCGGTAATATTTTATCATAGATTTCAAACAATTGCCCTTGTATAGGTTACATCATAGAAGCCGAGTAGTATTGATTATATCGTTTTCATGGGGCGTGGAAATAGGGCGCGGAGCGCATGATTTCCACGCCCCATGAAAACGATATAACCAATAGTACGAGACATCTATGATGTAAGCAACTTGTCGCATGTCTGATGACGTAAATTTCATTGAGAGTGTCAAAATTCGATAATAAAAATAAGATTCATTTCAAGCTAGCTCTCCAACATGTCGGATGTTCTTAGTGAATTTGACTTTGACTTTTTAAATGAGTTTGAAGATTTTGACAATTAATCTTTGAGCCAGGCACTCGACATAATATATTATATGAAATCACAGAAGCAAATATCAAGGAGTTTAACGATATAAAGTTTGGATATTTTACCGTAACTTTTAAAATTTCAAAATGGATAATTAATCTTTTGAACGACTGGGAACTTTCAACTGAGTTAAATACTTGTATTTTAATTTAGTTAAAGGCTAAGAAATAGCTTAAAAATATGTTCATTTTTCATAAAATCAGTTTTTTTTTCTCATGACCTGATTTCTGCCTCCTGCAGTGATATTTGAAGGGGCGTGGAAAGTATTTTTGCATATGTGATATGGGATATATCACCACAGAAAGATCAAAGAAAATCACCGCAGATATGCGACAATTCTCCTCGTCAGTACAACTTTCAATTACAATAGATAAATACCATGATAAGGACACCCCCCCCCAAAAAAAATACAACTGTTGTATTATCATGATTATTCCTGAAGTATTAAACATCCTGAAACATTAAGACAAAAAGAGCAATCAAGCTCAAAGTCCAGTTAACCACTACAAGTTAGGAGCAGAGCAAATACAGAGTTTCAAATATATCAGAGGAAGGAACAGCTTCCATGTATGAGTATAAGCATCCCCTGTCTACGAGTCACACCCTCCTGTATAAAAAACGTCAGTCAGCATTCGATCTAAGAATTGAGAATATGTCTTGACAAGGTCATTATATAAATGTTAGTTACTATTAATTTTGTTAACTGAAAATACGTCGTCGATATATCTAAATGTCGAGTTGAAGGCCAGAAGTATTTTCTGCTTCTCGTATATAAGATATAAGTTATGCAAATTATACCACGTTTATAACAATCGTTGAGGCTCCTTGACATACCAACAAACTATACAGTGGTCAATTGATTGCGTGACAATCCTTTAATAATTAACAAAATAACATACAAATATAAACAAAGAAAAGTGATGCCTCGGTATCAGGAAAGAGACGTCCATGCAAATTAAAGAATTACATGTACATGTATAGTGTTTGTTCTCACTAGATATAATTATTACCGGCCAGGGTATATCATTTTTTCGAACGTCCGTTGATCAAACTGATTCGACCTATTGACATAAAATATGAAATACATGTAAATTTTTACTGAAGAACATAATAAAACAAACAATATTGTAATCAGGAATAATTATTCAGTAAGAATCATCTCTTTGTGTATTTTATGTTAGTATACACACATCTATTATCGAAATGTTCGCGCTTCAGAAAGAAAAAAAAACACTTTATCATTCGAAGTTTTTTTTTCTTTACGCATTATACTTGACAGATGTATAATGAATTCTCGATGCATATAATGTTACCTTTATTTAATTTGTCCAGTTCACTTGTATTAATTTAACAAGGATGTGAGATTATGTAATTACTTCTGGATTCCCAATGTGTACGTTAACTGTTACGACAACGTAAAAAATGGATTTTTTGTCTATTCGCCCATTCGTATCCAGCAAATAACGAGAAAGGGTGCAAAAAAGTGTTCAAAAATTCTAAAATAAGCAAAGTCAAACTGAACAGTGATTTCTTGTTGTTACATTTTTATACCATTTTTCATATATAATTGGTACCTATTTAGAATTTTCATGTCTAGTGTATAAAACGCAATAAGAAAGAGTATAATTTTCTTTCCTTATTAAAAGTACTCGATTATACAAGAGCAAACATATAAATCAGGAAAATATACTCCTAGTCTAAATGTAAAATTTTATCCAATACTTGATATATTGGTGGCCATTTTCACGTGAGCGAAAAAAAAAGGATTTACTTACCATTGCAGATTTGAATTGAGGGTATAAATTCTAAGCCAATTGACCATAGAATACACATGCAAATATTCCTCAATGGTAATTCCATTGCTCAGAAATGATTCGCTATGCTGGCCATATAAAACCCCTAAATGGAGCGAAAAAACGGACCGCGAGGGAAAGTTATTCTGTAAGGAGAAAATAGAGGAAGTCAATACTTGAACCGGATCCCATGCTTGCGCAGCTACATATATCATGCATTTTCTATCTTTTGGAATATAATTGTTTATGCGCAAAACACTTGAATTCGTACATCTGTGTCTTAATTGGATATTCTATAGGAAAAGTCACCGATGGCAAAGCAACACAATTTTATGCTAAGCGTGATGAATTCAACTCTTCTACTCGTCAACTTTCTTAATTTGTGTAGCAATATACCATTATCACCAGCATATGTCTCCCAGTTGATTAGATTCACAAGAATAGGTTCTACATTCAAATAATCTCTAAAACAAAGCAATCTATTGACAAATAAGCTGCTGATACAAGTGAAGGATAATAACAGTCTAGTTTGAAGTCAATAGTTCTTAAAAGCTATGGTCGAAAAAATAATACAATCGTTACGTCGAATATTGACTGAAGTATTTCATACCGTTGGGCCATTTTTTCTACGGAGTTTTCTATTTACCCGATCATAACAAGGAGCACGCGACAGGGGTGACCGATCGATAGGAGTTTCTTACATCTCCATGACACCTGATCACACCTCTGATGTATTAAGAGGTTCTTGTTAAAATGTTGGCACTGCTTCCAATTTATATCGTTCATTGTTCTAATGAACTTTTGAGCTGGATTACTATTCGTTATATCATTATTCATCAACCAAGCTCAAACACACAAAAGATTTAATACCTTTCGAATATCATCGTCTCTATTTAGGTCAGGATTGACTTTGACCCCTGTATTCAGCTTCAAGTATCGACTTGAGAAATGGGTCAAAAATGGATCAAGACGTCAATACATGTATAGCAACAATATTATAGAAGTAATTATACTGCGAGTGACTTCCTTTTAAAAATTAACATACAGTAGCTTATTATTATTTATACGTGTATCATTATATAACTCGATGCTTTGAGAGTGGACGTGCTAGTTTCGTTTATCCTGCAGTGGGATGAACATTGATAAATGAACGAGATTTACCAATGTACCAGGTATATCATATTGACATGTTCTATGTTATAATAAATTATCTCTTTCAAGTGTATGTATATAGGACTAAGCATACAATCTATATAAATCTGGAAAGAAGTTATGTAAAAAGTCATGATATAATTAATATATTGATTGATTCATAAATTTTCTAAAATATTTTGATTCTAAAATATATATGATGATCTTCCACCAGGAGAAAAAGGAGTGAGTGTACAATACCCCTACCCACATTTGTTCTGTGTCCATATAAATTACAAGACCCAGGTTACTATAGTACACTCTTATAAGCAAAGGAAAGTCAAACAAAGCCTAAATTTTAAAATCCTGCTTTCAAAACATAAAGCATTGTGTGTATTATTCTGTTCTCTCCATATAATAAGGAATTTGTAACTATTAAAAACAAAATCCAAATTACGTGTATATCTTGTAAGTTCTGGTCAATATATAACGAGCTTATCATACATACCTTCACAGCTGACATCCGAGCAGTTTTGCGTTTCCTCCCAATTCCCTGAGCAGTTTTTGTCGCCTTGTCTTGGTTTGGGATAAGTACAATTCCTCTGTCTTTTCCTGACCCCACTACAGGGCTGTGAGCACTCACTCCATTGGCCCCACTCCCCAAACTGACCGTCAGATGGACATGAAAGTTCCGCATTACAGTTAGCTTTTTCAAAGTTTTTTCCACGACACGGTTTTCTGCGATCCGCACAGAATCTAATTCTTTGACGATACCCGTTCCCACACGTAACACTACAGGCCGACCACTCTGTCCAACCGCTCCACTCTCCCTTCACGGGACAGACAGCTTTTATACAGAGAACATTTTGCTTAAAAGAGCCTGAACAGATCAGAGTGGAATTATCTGTAACAGAATCTGTACATGTTCTTCTCCTTGTTTTTGCACCAATACATGTTGTGTTTCTGCACCAGGACCACGGACACGGTCTATTGCACCGGGACCATTCCGTCCATTCAGACCACGAAACAGAGTCACCATTTATAGAATCTAAATATAAAGTAAACATCTTGATATTCAACTTATAATTCTCAGTTTCATGATCTCTTATAATTGTTAGTTCTTTTTAAAATCATCAATGTGATTCATGAGAGAGAGAGAGAGAGAGATTTATAATGTATAAGACTTACCGTCACAACTCACCGGATAGGATGTAAAATTCATTGATATAATTAAAATAAATAAATAAATATCAAAAACAGCCATTTATGGGTTACTGATAATGTTGAGTTCAGTGGTCCATAAAACAATTTGTGAGTAAAACGGAAGAAGGTTTACTTAAATATAAACATTTATCCTCTTATGTGGGCCGACTTTGGCGGATTAAGCTCATTACCTACATTATCCCCGTACAATAGCAGAAATATATATTTTATACGTGTTCGATTGTTTTTTCTGCTCGTATTTAATAATTATCTTTCTATGTTTAAAACCGATTATTAGCGGTGGAATTAATTTTACATTTTTATATGAAATATCACAAGTATATTTCTTTCTATGTTCAAGGAATTTTCCGATAACAAAGAGCTTATAGATCGGTAGCTCACTGGCCACTCACTTCAATTGTCCTTAAGTAGCTCTACTGCACTCACTAAAGAGTTCTTTTGTCACCGTATACGGATGTTAGATGGTACTGAGTGGGGGGTTAATCTATTTGCTTCCTCATTTGGTCAGCTTTGAATGTTCCAGATATGTAATCACTAAAATGTATCAAAATCCACGGAATATATTTCACATTTGTCATACTGTCGTACTTTTGGTGACCTTAATTTAACTTTGGTGTTAAAATTGACACTCAGGCAAGCAGCATCGGGGGTCTGGGATGCCCCCTCCCATTTTTCCAGACGTAAAATTTACTATAGAAAATGTTCATTGAAAGTCTCTCTACTTTTTGGTACTGATGGGAGTTGGAACCCCCACCCCAGCCCTCACCCCACGAAATTTTGACATCCCCCTTTTTTCTTGCATGCTTGTCGGGTTTTTCAGGTTTGTTTTTCTCTGCCCCCCTCCCCGTTCAAAAATGATCAGACGTCACTAGACAGAGCCAGGGACTTATATACATGTACTTACTTGTAAAACTAGTATACTTAATTAAGCCTTTTTTTAAAAAAAAAATGTTTGTTTACTTGCTCTCTCCCGACAGACTAAAAATAGCTCGATCAATTTTTTTTTACTCTCGGAAATATCTCTCTCTCTCTTTCTCTCTCTCTCATAAATCATTCATATCCCTTCAACAACTTGAAACTAATATAAACTTTACATTCAATCTCAATACTTTTTTTAATCGTATCTACTAACTTTCCATACTATTTCCTCCTCAGTAGGGAGACGGTAAGTAGCCTTGTTTTTTCCAAATATGGTCCAAATAAATCTTTTTGCCCGCTAACCAATTGCAACGCAAGAATCATGATATCTAATAAAGTCATAAAACAAATTATAATTTATAAATATTTTAAAAATTATATATTCAATTACTATGATTAAAAATTACAGAGTAATCATGATGATTATTCTGATGATTAATGATTTTAAATAGAACTTTCCAAAAGTCCGGGGATTTTCCCGCGGATATCCATAAAAACTCATTATATTAAAAAAAATTTTTTTTTAGATAAAATCGACAAGCGTAGTTCATGATAAAGTTTTGATTAATTTACTGCTCATATTGCATATTTAGGTCTTATTTAATACATGTAGCTTTGAAAATCCCTGTAGCTCCCAAACAAAAAAAAACCCCTTAGATAACTTTTTTTTTTCTTTTTTTTTTTTTTTTTTTTTTTTACATTTATCTATTTATTTTTTACATCATACCTATCCTAGCATTCAAATTTCTTTTGCTGAGTCGGATAATGATAATGATGTTTTGGGAAAAAATTAATAGCCTGTAGCTATATCTCGGACATGCCCTCATTAGATAGGCTAGAGAATGGTTGGATCCACCACCAAACGACGAACTCTTCTGCAAACTGAGGTAATATAGTCCACGTGAAAAACATCAAAGATGGCGGTTCACGAATCGCTCCATCTGTAAGTGGGCGTTCATTTTTGTACCACGAGCTTCATTAAGACTTAAAATTGGTTTCAGATAGCAAGTTTTTGTGAAATGGAATAACAAAATTGATATGAATTAATAATGTTAGATTTAGTACCATTCGATCAGGCAGCTTGTTGACCATGGTCAAGAGGGCATCGAATAGTCAATACTGACATATTTAATATAGGCACAGTGGCACTAATTATATCTAATCTACATATGATAATTAAATTGAAAAAAAATTTCTTTACCCCAAATAAGGCTTTAAATTTTTTGAGGAGATGAAAGAAAAGGGTCACTTTTTCACCATTTTACATGTAATATTTGTCTCTGGGATTGAAACAAAGCTGAAATGCTTACTAATGGTAATATTTGGACTCATTTCTAGAACTTGTTGAAATGAGATTTCTAAAGTGTAGTAGAAAGCTGAAATCAGTTGTTCTGAGTTTCAGAAGGATTCTTGATCTAAAGGCATAGTCCGTTCGAAAAAAATTTTTCTATTATACTTGTATATACTTGTATATATAAACTCATACGAATTAAAAAATTAACATATATATTTTTTCTATTTATTTCCTTTACCAATTTGGGATATTTTTTCTCAAGTTCTGATACGAGGAATAATGTTTATTTTGTCTTAATTAATTTTTGCTTTGATTCTAATGTTTTTTGAATGACTTAGTGTTTGCACTTTTGGTAATTAGATGATTGATATGATTAATATCAGTGTTAAGAATTACGAATTGCGCTGTTTTCAATTAAAGGAACATTCAATTATAGAACTGAACAGCGGATGTTGAAGGTTTTCTGAAGAATTATTTAACAAATGATTTATAAGAAGATGGAAGATGAAAAATGGTTTCAGAATTTGGTCAAGGTCTGTATTATATGTTTTTGTCATGTTTCTTGACCATTTGTGACAATATGAATAAGAAAAAAAATTCAAACATCACCGAAACTAGCATTTTAAAAAAATATCATATTACTGTACATAAAAAGACAAAAGCCACCTTCGGGGAGTGCCTCGGTTTACAAAAGTCTATTGTAATCAATATCTACTTTTTTTGTATCCATGTTTAAGGAGATCAGATTTTAATAAAAATCATTGAATAACGTCCTTCAACATGTTCAGTATCTGTTGATTTGAACTTGCCGTATAAAAAATGCAGTAATTTAAATCATCCTCAATAATCATTCAATATACCTAACCTAGCTGCAGAACTGTAGCTCTCCATAAAAATATATATTGATAGACCGGCGAGCTACAGTGCCACCCATTGAAAAAACTGTATATTTATTGCACACAAAAAAAGTGCGCTGTTTCTGGATTAATTCTTCCAAATTCTTACCTCAATTGCAAAAAAGCTAGATTTCAATAAAGGCCTTACTTTTCTATCAATTACTTTTGTAGTTTACATCTGTACGAAGCGCATTGGGCCGAATTATCTTGCAAACCAAAATGGCAGTACATGTATAAATAGGCGACATTTTCGATCAACATGTTCAATCATCTTTTGATTTGAACTTGACCTGCTATCAAGAACAATTATGTGGAATGTTTTGTTGTGGAAACAGTAAAAGAACATGTTAGGAACACACGGTTAATATATTTTGAAATGACAGTTTTAAACACATGGAGAAATAAATCGAAAGACAGCACACTTTTTTGTGTGCAATAAATATACAGTTTTTTCTATGTAACTCTTAGAAACGGTCTGTCAATATATATTATAATGGATATAGAGCTACAGTTTCAAGATGATAGCAGTGAAACTGAGAGCAACAGAAGTGACAGTTTCTAACTAACATTTAGAATCATCCTGGAATTATAATGAATTATAGATTTAAGGGTGAAGTGCATTAGAGGACATCTTTGATGTACTATAGAATGTAAGGGGGAGCTTTATATTCCCTTTATTGTAAGAAAATGTACAGCATGTACAGTACATTTATGCCTCTTTAAAAGAATCATAACAAAAAAAAATGCCTTTTGTTTTTCAGTCATGTGACCTCTGACAAATTTTACATTCAACCTGTGGATTCTGGGATAGATGAATTATTGGTACTTGACAGAGTGTCTCAAGAAATTAGTCTTCAGGGTAAAGTTTATTTAGATTGTATTACATCATGCACAGTTTTGAATTTCAGCACAATATGCATGCAATTAAATGTATTGTGTGTTTATTAGAATCAGAAAAGAACATTTTAGATTTTTCTAAATCTCTGACAATTATTTATTTTAAATTGAATTTGGGGATCATTGATTTTCTGTTCTTTACAGCAAACAAAGGGCAGCTTCCATCGTCCAGTATAACCAAACCTATCTATGGCATATTTGGAATTGTAAGGCTCATAGCAGGTAATCTTATTTATTACAATTACAGTAAAATGAATGTCAGTTAGTGCTTTATTCTCACTCTGATCAAAATAGATTGTTTATCTGCTCACAGAGATCACTGAACCTTGTATAGCAATCAATGTGAAAAGATCAAAGGATCTGATTTTAAACAGATTGCTGTATTTTGTAAGACTTGACAAATTTTTTTTTGAGAGGCAATCATTTTTAGCTCACCTGAGCCGAAGGCCACAATGGCCGATCAAAGTTTTACATAGGAGTATATAGGAAAAATCTTTAAAAATCTTCTTAGTAGGAACCACTGGGCCAAGAAAAATGAAACTCATGTGGAATCATCCTCAAGTCGTGTAGATTCAAGTTTGTTCAAATCATGACCCCTGGGGTTAGGGCGGGGCCACAATGGCCAATCAAATTTTTACATAGGAGTATATAGTAAAAATCTTCAAAAATCTTCTTCTCAAGAACCACTGGGCCAGGAAAGATGAAACTCCTGTGGAATCATCCTCAGGTAGTATAGATTCAAGTTTACATCATGACCCCTGGGGGTAGGGCGGGACCACAATGGCCAATCAAATCTTTACATAGGAATATGTAGGAAATATCTTTAAAAATCTTCTTCTTGAGAACCACTGGGTCAGGTAAGGTGAAACTCATGTGGAATCATCCTCAGGTAGTGTTGATGCAATTTTGTTCAAATCATGACCCCTGGGGTTAGGGCGGAGCCACAATGGCCGCTGAAAGTTTTACATAGTAATATATAGGTAAATCTTTTTAAATCTTCTACTCAAGTACTTCAAAACCATGATTAGTGATATCTATATGGAATCATCCTCCTTAGTGTAGGTTTTAGTTTGTTCAAATCATAACACATCCCCTAGAGATAGGGTGGAGCCACAAAGGTCAATCAAAGTTTAACATACTCATTTACATAAAGGAAAGATCCCAAGAACAGAAAAGCTATGTTTAGATATATTGACATGTAAGCATCCTCATGTATTGAAGATTTAAATTTATTCAAATCATGGTCTTTTGGGTAGGGAGGGTAGGACACCATCCCCCCTCCCCTCAGTAAACTTTTCAGTTCTGACCTAATCTGTGCTTTTTCCTAGCCGATGTGCTCAGGTGAGTGATGTGGCCCCTGTGCCTCTTGTTTCTTTTGATTATTGGAAGTCTTAATGACTCAATGCTCTATGTCTACCTTTAATATTGCTAAAAACTCAAATAAAATGAATCTTTCTTTACTTAATTAGGACCTTACCTCATTGTTATCACAAAAAGAGAGAAGATTGGCGAGATAAATGGTCACACAGTGTGGAAGGTGACGGGCACTGAGGTGTTATCCTTCAAAAGGACACTGCTGCATCTAACAGAACAACAGGTGAAATATCAGCTGATTACATGTAACGTAAAGAGCTAGGTTCAGTTTATGCAAAAAATGGCATGCCCATGATATCCTGATTACGATTCACCAGTTAAATGAGAATAGTACACTAAAACATCACTAATGACTAGCAAGAAAATTGTCATTTTCCAGAGATACATGTATATATAGTCATCAGGGGTGATATTTAATGTATTATTAACTGAAACTGATCAGTCTGTTTGATTTTTATTTTGAATTCACAAAACCAAAAAATCCAAAGTAAATATTGCTATGTAATACAGTAACCACTTCATAATCTGTGGAATAAATTCTGTTTCATATCAAATCCATTTGTGAAAAGTAACTGGAGAAAGGTTTAAGCATGTAAGCAATTAAATTTTTGAATTGGTTGTGAATCTGTGTTTAATATTCCTTAAGGTGTTGTATTTTAAATGTAGAATAGAACAATAATTACCAGGTAATAATTTTATAAGAAAAAAATCCTTATAAAGTTGTTTGATTTGATTTTCACAGAATGTACACAACAAGTCCTATCTGAACATGCTGGAGTACGCTCTGAGGATGGAGAGCTATTACTACTGCACCAACTTTGATCTGACCCACAGTCTCCAGAGACTGTATAACACAAGTCCCGACTTCCACGCCATGTCACTAGTAGAAAGGGTATGCTATACATGTACTCAAACACTGAAATTAATTCTGTACAAGTATTCTTAACCTTTTTTTTTTCATTGATTTGTTAGTGTTATTTTATTTTAGTTGCAGGACTGTACAGACATTATTGTCACAACATTTAATATCTCTTTTTAATCCATCATCTCTTGATTAAAATGATGGAAGCTGAATTAAAATAAGTTTAATATACAAAATGAACATTTTTCAGTTCAAAATAATACTGGACAATAACTCCTAGTCAATATATAAAAATTATACATTACAAATGTTGCCTGCGTGGCGCAGAGGGTAGAGGGTCTGCTCCAGAATCATGAAGTTAGGAGTTGATCCTTATGTCGCAGGTTCGAATCTCACTGTAGGATGTAGAGATTGGTCCATCGGATGAGACCGTATAAACCAAGGTCCCATGTCCTAGTAGGTGTTGGCATGAAAAAAATCCCTCTTTGTTCAATGGCCATAAATGCTGAGCATTGGACAAAATTTGCAGCTCTTCACCGGCAAGTGGTGGCATCTCCATTTGAGTGAAAAGTTCTGGAGAGGAATGTTAAACAACAAACATATATTCCATTAATGTAATTTTATTATTTTGTTGCTGTATGCAACTGAATTGATATTTGTCAAACGTTCAAAGTTTGCAGTTTGTTTCATTTTGTTTATTTTAGGCTGATCCCAGATTTATGTGGAATGGACACCTGTTACGAGAATTCTCTCAGCTATCAGAAATGGGACGCTATTGTTTACCTATAGTGCATGGCTGTATCCTTTGTCTGAAGGAAATTTTATTTCAGTATTTAAAATGTTTTTTCATTTCAGTTTTATAAATAAGAGTAAAGAGGGGTTATTCCCCTTGATAGCATTTCTAGTTTTTAATTGATAATTCTTTTATGTTGGTGTTGACTTGCAAGTCACCTTTATCAATACCTATAAAGAGTTACTTCCCCCTTAATTGTAATCAGTCATAGAATGTCAGTCATGTAGCATCAACAATAAGACGTTTGACTACATTCTGGTGTCTAGACGTTCCGTATACAGAGCAGGCACTCGGTTTTATGTACGAGGAATCGACACAGAAGGACAGGTGGCCAACTTTGTGGAAACAGAACAGATCATACAGTACGAAGGAAACAAGTGTTCATATGTCCAGGTTTGGTCATTCATTTTTATTTACATGAAAAGACATGATTTTATCTGCAAAAGAAAATTATTATAATTAAGGAGATAAAGCATAGAATAGAATGAGAGAAATATTTTTTTAAGAAATGACAAAGCTTAGTATTAAGACACTGGTACTGTTCATAAATGCAGTTTGGAAAAAAATGATGTATTTCTAGAAAAGTGCTGTGTTTTGATATATGAAAATGTATGTCTTAAAAGGAATTTTTATTTCACAGATCCGAGGTTCCATTCCACTGTTTTGGACACAGAGACCTAATCTGCAATATAAACCCAAGTTCAAACTAAACACATCTAGTCATGTTCGTATAGAACGTTCACTTTTACTATTACGAATTATTTTGTGAATTATTTTAGTGTATACTATATCAATTTAGATAAATGAGAATGTTTACATTCCTTAAGAATATATGGTCATTTTCTGTATTTCACGTACTGTGTTTATTTCATGAACATAATATTCATTTTTAATATACTGGTTATATTAATTTTGCAGATAGAGGTCTTCCAAAGACATTTTGACGATTTAATTTATAACTATGGAGACCAAGTCTTAATAAATTTGGTAAGTTATCTCTGGCAATTTAATCATAAATATTTTTTTCATAATGTAGAGGAGGTACAGTGGGACATTAAGATAAAATGATAATGTTCTGCAGAAGTGTTAAATTGTACAGTAATTGGTTGAATCAAGTTTTCATACCATTCTGTGATTTAATTATGTAGTTATAACAATATTTTCTGATACCATAGGCAAAGCTATTGTGTATTTGATACTGTAGACTAACCAGGTATTGTGTATTTCAGGTAAACCACACTGGTGGAGAAGGACAGCTGGAGAAGGCCTTCTCTCAGTCCGTCACAAACACACAAAACCCCAAAATCAGGTATATAAGGTCCTCAGTTCAATTCAAACTCATAGCAATATCAGGTTTCTCGGTCCGTTACAAACTGTTAACACTCAAAACCCCTAAATCAAGTACATAATGTCCTCAATTCATACTCCATAGCAATATTTGGATTCTCCAACTTGTAGAGTAGGATTTGCATTTTAATTAATAGAGTAGATAAGATTATTTAATTGATTTTGTTGTAGGTATGAGTATTTTGACTTTCACCATGAGTGTCGAAAAATGAGATGGGACCGACTGTCCATTTTAACAGACAGACTTGGAGAGGACATTAAAAGATTTGGGTAAGTCACTGGCTAAAGGCATCTCTAAATATATTTCTCCTGTAAAACTCGATCACATTACCAGTATTTAAAGTAGTTCACCTCTGTTGTGCAGTGTGTACTTTACTTGATTTACTGAGTTTTAGAAAAAAAATTGAGGTATGTTCACTTGTGAAAAATTAGTTTAACATGCATTTGTGTAATTTTGTTTGAATCAATATTTGTATATTATAATGTTTTAGATATTTTGCTCTGTCGAAGGATGGGACTTGTTTAAGTCAGCAGGAGGGAGTATTCAGGACAAATTGTATAGACTGTCTGGATCGTACTAATGTAGTCCAGGGTTTACTTGCCAGGATCATCCTAGAAAAACAGCTAACAGTAAATACAAACAATGGCATTATTGTAATAATCAAAATGCTAGTGGTCCATAAACTTCTGTCATAAATACACACTTTATCATTGTCTTGTTTAATTTATAGCGTCTGGGTGTTCTTGAGGCCAGTCAGAGAATAACAGACATGAAAACTTTCATAACAAAATTCAACAACAGTAAGTGTTTGAATTTAAATTAAAGCCAGTAAATACATGCTATTGTAATATGAAAACCGTTGGATGAAATGAATATTTCTGAAAGATTTGCAAAATATTTTGACTAAAATTGAATATTATTGTATATCTATTTCCTAAGAGAAGATAAATGTATACAAATATAACCTTTAATATCTTACACCTGTAATCTTTTTCAAAAATTGAATTTTAAATCAAGCTCTATTTTTTCTCTTTTATTGCACATTCCTTATTATTACAAATTCTATCTTGTAAACTAAAACATTGGTACATGTTATGATATGATAATATTGATAATAAAACATATTTGGCATTTTTCACCGTATAATTTTTGTTTAATTTTTTTCAGTTTGGGCAGACAATGCAGATGCAGTATCTAAGCAGTATGCAGGCACTGGTGCTTTGAAAACAGATTTCACTAGGTAGAGTTTTCTTATTATAAGTTTCCATGCAGTTCAAAAAAAATAAATAAATAAATGAAAAGAGCATACTGCTGCTGTAAGAATACAGGTAATGTTTTTCCTATCTTAAATTTCCAATTCCCAAATTTTTTAAAGTGACTTAAAGAATATTTTGTAAATGATATGTCTGACATCAAAATAAAAATGTATTTATTGCTTTGTAGGCAAGGAAAGAGAACCAAAATGGGACTTCTCATGGATGGGTGGAATTCTTTAATCAGATATTTTAAGAATAACTTTGGAGATGGATTTCGTCAGGTTTGTTTTTTTGCTGTAAAACATGCTTGTCTTCTGTAGATCAAGGTCACATCAGAGTTGTGTCCCTTGAAAACACATTTCATTTTT